AGATCTCCGTACACAATCGAGAGCCAGCTTCATAACTAGATCAGTCAAACCGAGCAGCGTTACTTCCAAAGATTAAAGTGCATCTACTTTTCTAACCACCCGTGAGTTTTTCCTCATTTGGAAATCTAAAGTAGCAAATGTCTGAAGTGGCCTGCTGAGACTCTATCATCATCTCAAGTCAAATTCAAGACAGGTATTGATATCGAGAAGGCTAGAACACAGATCAAGTCGTGACTCTGTCGTAAAATACATAACATTATACCAACTTAACAACCATTTTTTTGTCTATTTTAAGTACTAGTCATGCGTGCTGGACGACAAACCAGAGTTTATTCCGACCAGTAAAGAATTATTTTCATAAATTCATGTTCCAGTTTTCCCTTTCAGCGTTCGGCGGTTGACCGATCAAGAAAAACCTGAGAACAAGCGAAGGGTTAGAAGAATTTTACTCTCTGTGGGTTCTGGGATTTAGAGAGAGAAGCACGAGCATTCACTTCGTGATACTGAATCACATCACGAAATTCCTTTTCACCGCCGAGATCTGACGGTTTGTCCTACCTATATGTGCGTCACCGAAAGTGCACGAGAACCGGTATATAGTGTGACTTGAAACACTGGGTCCCTTTTATCCATCGCATCAAAGCCAAAAGAAGACATATGTCACGAGATGTTAACATTTCGTTTAATCTTCTCAATCGCTGACGTAAAACAAACAAGCATATTTATAGCACATTAGATTTGTAAATCCTAGTGAACCGACATGTACAGTTAGACAGGGACTATTAGAATTACAAAATATAGGTCAACTCCACGGCAAGTGAACTGATTGGACCAACGACTTTTGGGCGCACAGAACGGGATTATGTAATCGGATTAGAAACTCCTCACTTATCGCAAACGGTTTGGCATTACAATCACGTAACAACGGTTTGAAAAAGGAAGCGGGATCAATTATGTGCTTGGTTGTCATGACGTGTTTTGCAATTGATGACCCCGAGTTACGTGTGACCACCTGTCTAACTATACACGTCCGTTGACTGGGATTTACAAATCTAATGTGCTATATGGTGTGTGAGAAAGAACCGGGTTTCCAACCATGTTTATGTTTATCCAAATCAATTCCAGCTTTCACAACGGATGTTCAAACAGATTACAAAGTTTTTGGTGAAATCGATGACGCAACCAATAATTGGTGGTCAACTGAACACAAGAAATCCAGGGTCATCGATTGAAAAACATCTCATGAGAACAAGACACAACTGACCCCGATTAAATTTTCAAACCACTATTACGTAATCGCAATGCTACACTTTTGGCAATTAGTGAAGCACGGCTTGTTTGGTTACAACACCCAACCCTATGCATACAAAAGTTATATTGCGCCTGTTCGCCGAGCTTGGTTTTTTGTTTGCAAACGTTGCATCACCATTTGAGGTGACATCATTAAAGCTTGTGAAGTGGCAGTACCTTATTTTACCATACTCAGCATACAAAAGCTTTTGATGCAATCAATCCACTTGCCATGGGATAACCATCTGCTTCTAATTTCACTCATCTTTGTATGCTTGTACACATTCACTCAACAGAATTGAACAACCCCATGTGCTATGTATGTGCCTGTTTATTTTAAGTCAGTGATTAGGAACATCAAACAAAATGTTAACATTTCGCCATATTTGTCTTGTTTCTGTATTGATGAAAAATACTTAGTTTAGACCATTACAAAAAATAATTGTGAACTGAAAGCTTAAATTATTCAGTAAAACTTCCATCTTAAATCCTACATCCAGCATCATACATTACAGGTAAATCTCTGGTCGTTCACGCCCATCGCAAACCTCATTTGCAATATGCTCCCGCTTTTTGAAAACCCAACTATATTCATAATAGAATTTACAACCAGGGACAAATGTATTTCACATCCTCACAAGACTTTTGGATTGCCCTCATTTTTGAGAATCTAGACAGCGGTCAAATGAAAATCCGAAGTACGAATCCTCAATAAATTGGATTGCATTTTAACGAAAATAAGTCGAAAAAACAGAATTTCCACCAGTGCAAAAGAATTGCACCCCACGAACTTAACCCATCGAGGGAACTCTATTATTCTCAAATAGTACTCCGTTCCTTAACAAACAACACCTTTATTTCGTGTTTTGTGGTGCATACTCTGGAGTGTGAGTGTAGTTTTCTATTGGGTTCCAACCTGGGCTGCACTCAGGCCACATTATTGTTTTGGTTCCGCAAAATAATAATCATCATTTATTAGTTTCTAAGTAATAAATTATGGCGAAATCATGCCGGAATTGGCCTCAGGGTGACTATTCCATTTCATTGTCAGCTTCAGACCTGGCTCCAATGCAGGAATATATACATCAGAATCTCGAGGTAGGGCGAGTTCGGTTGGACCGATACTTGATGCCATCAAGAACTTTCGATCTCTAAGCCACTTACTTACCTTTTGCTGTTTCCACATTAAATTAAATTAAATTAAATTTCTTTTCGTCCCTCGTGTGTATGAAATTCCATTCGTTTTCCCAAGTCTCGTTAGTTTGAGACCACAATAAGTTTTTCTGTTCGTAGATTTCTTAGAGCTATAAACCTTCTCATCCCACTCTTCTCATCATCTCACCTCTGTTTCAAGTGTTTTTCTGATGTCCAATCTGTTTTGGCTGACTTTTAGCTGTCCGCGCTTCAAATATCGTTCCACCGTGCGACCGGAACCGATCACACGGTCTGGCTGACGTATGTGTGGTGACGTTGATATCACAAATGGCATCAACTTCTGGATTTGGGGTTGTCAGTATGCTTCTACCATGGAGTCATGGTTGGCAATGCCTTGCAGTGACCAACTTGAATGTCTTTGTTCTTTCAAGGACATGGAGAGTGAATTGACCAAACGGTCACCGTTACTAGGTTGGCACCACTCTGTAACTGGGTTTTCAGTTGCCATGTCGAATTACAAACCCCGGATTACCACTGCACCCATTTCAGAACAGAGTTGGGAGGGTGAAGCCAGTGGGAGGGCAATACTTTTGCAGCAATGAAAGCTCTGCTTGTTTCGGATATTTCCGTTACAATTCAAGATAGTTTGTAAGACTTCGTACTTTGGTGTTTTTATTCGTTTTCTTCTTTATCTTCTCAAAAATGGTCATGATGGTGTATGTGGGAGCAGCGATAATCCGAAAATCTCGCGGGGGGNNTATGGTTTCGGCATTTACAAACCAACGTCACATTCAACCAATCACATCTCATCGAGTGTGGCGCACACATGGCACTGTTTAATGACTAGATAGCCCAAGTTAGGAACACACGCAGATATCAGCAATCGTAAATGGTGTCATTAGAAATGAAAATGAGTGAGTGCCTACTCATCAGAGAGTTTAACTTTTTGAACAAACTGAATCAGCTTCATGCGACCCATGCGTGCTGACAGTGATCTCACGAAAGGTACCGCTTCTGAATCTCATTTTATCCATATTTTTCTTCGAATGTGCAAGAGTTGGCAACGCATTGCAGTGATCTACTTGGACGTCTCGGTTCCGTCAAGTTCTCTGCGATTAGCGTGAGCATTTGGTCACTTTAACCATGAATCAATTGTGCGTTATTTCTGTAAGGCTATCATAACCAATAGGATAGTAGGTCCCGATGGACGCCATGTACTCACTTCTGTGATGAGCCTCATATTGCAGTTGGTTAGGGCAATATTTTAATACGTCAGAAAAGCATTTTAAAGAGCAAGTTGGTTCAGGATAAACAGAGTGGAGAAGTATTGAAATTCGAGTGCAGTGTTCAACTATTATGCTGACAGCATCAAAATATATTGAACTTTCTTCGATACATCAAGAATACGGGAGCCTGATCATTTTGCATTCCCCTGTAACTAAGCAGTAGGGAATTGTACACGCTGGAAGCAGATACCCGAAGCAACACAGTATTCATTCATCCTGTTTATTTTTCACAAAAATCTCACACGATTTTTCATCTAATTTAGGAGAATATAACTCTGGCGAAAATGGTATTCCACACTTCTTAGAATTTATTGATTTCATCTATCCCCAAGGGTTTCGATATAGCAGAAAATGGGCAATGGTGTGGTACTAATAAATATAAATTCAGATGGAAACCACAAGTAAAACTCTTATGAAAGAAATTCTTTGCCATTCAATTTTCGCAATTTTCTAGAGGAACGCAAAAATCACTTTCATGGTGACATTGAAAATCCAATTAGGAAAATAGGCCATTTTTTGAAAACTCATCAATTGGCCACTTACAATTATACAAGTAGAGCATTCAATATTGTTTGGTAAAGTGTGACGTAGACCGTATTACACCAAGTACAAAGAAATCCTACGAGTGTCAGCATTTCAAGGCAGTCTCCCTTGGTTTACAACTATTTGATGAATTGTCGAAAAAAAGCTTGTTTAGATTACGGGATTTTATTTTCAAAACATTAACCTTTGAACAGCTTTGCTACATGCACATATTGTTGTCAAAGATAATGCCCCTGAAAAATGTTTAGCGTTGGGTGGTAAATTGACTCCTAAAACAAATGTCCCAGTACGCTAACCAAATGTCTTACCGATTTTGGACCAACAGGACGGAGCTCCTTGGAGGATTCTTCAGTTACTCTTTGGGGTAGTTTTGCACTGGACTCCACAAGGTTGATGGGAAGACTGGGGCGCTGACTGGTTACAACGGAGGAGGTGACCGTATTTATTACACCCATACTTCTCGTCACTGAACTCGAATGTTTCTTTGAGTCCTGTCGTAAAATTAATTAAAGATGAATGGAGACAACTGAAAATTCAATTGTAATTAAAAAATAGAATCACAATGCTTAAATATTAATCTACATTGGCCGTTAAAGATGACGGATGTTCCGTATAGCGGAAAATATATTACGAGAATTGTATTCAAAAATTTGGAATTAATATAACTTAGCACAATTTTTCTAATGGTCAGATGCATAACATGCACATTCAAATCAGAAACCATACCTTGAGTGCTTCGTAGGAGCGCTGAATTGTCACTTTCCGGGGGATGAGACCATTGTGACTATAATAGGTACTATGCCGAGTACTATCCTCGTCATCATTAAAGGACTCGTGAGACAGACTGCTTTGTTGATTAGCCAACGCGTCCGTCAAGCGTTGTTCCAAGACTGAGTTCTTTTGTTTTAGTTGCTCCAATTCTGCTTTGAAAACGTTACGCTCTTGTTCACAAGTCAACAACTTTTTCTGGGACTTTTCCAGGGCTGAACATTTTGCACGTAATGCTTGAAGAAGTGTGCGAAACCTATTTTCCAGAACCATCCGTGCTCGAATCTGTTCATGAAACTGGAAAATGACACCAATAATAAGACAAGAAACCACCAGATCAGGGAGCCTGTGCTTCAAAGTTTTGTAATGGACTGTAAAGTTATGCTTTTGCCAAACCTAAGCTGAGAACTGTCTCACCAAAAGACCTAAAATCGTTTACGCCAATCACTGAGCACTTAGTTCACTAATTTTCTATAACGAAATACATGGGACTAATGATCGGCAAGAAACCAAACGCATTTATTCAAGGGTCCATATATATTTAGTCTTCCTAGAATTGACGCTTATGAATATATATCACACGAAGAGCATGTTCAAAGAGCTACATCCATAGATGCGAATTAAAAATTTAATTCTATCGCCTTTTATTATTCTGGCGGTCGATTGATAAATATAAAAAAACTAGGCATGAGTGCTACGGAAATTAAAGCTCTATGAAGAATTTAAAAGATTCACTAAATGCAACGAGGCGGGATAAACAGTCGAAATGTGTGAGATGAAAAACAGGGAACTATCTTGACTTATCTAACCATCCCTTCTATCCAATTTCTACTGACAATGCACTTTGAAAATATATCTGCTTTTTTCTGAGCATATTCATTTACCGTATCCCTCTTTGCTGATTGCCTTGACACCATAATCCGATTAGTACGTAAATACACAGAGATGCAAGCTCTCCCGAAAATTCACATTGGGATACAAATATCGTATAGTCAAGCGTGCCTCGTTGTCATGTATTCGTACCTTACGTTCCAAAATGGTCTTCTCCTGAGCAAGTCTGTTCAAGTTGACAGCTGTGACTTGTTTCCGTAACAGTTCAATTTCACTCATGGCATTTTTGTACTTGTCTAACAAAGATGTGTAGTTAGTTTTCATGAGTTTCTGGAAATCTCGCTGCGTGCGAATAAGACATTCCAGCTGTTGCAACTGATTCGCGTAGATCGGACGAATTTCTCCATCCCCGTTCGCTGAACCCCTTGGAGAGAATGATATGTCTCTTTGTAACGCACGTAGAGGACTCTGGCAAACATCCTGCGACGTGGAGAATGTTGCATAACGGTAGAAATGTTCCATTCCAGGTGGTAAGTTCTGCTTCATAACTGGTCATAACACAATTTTATACTGAAAAAAATAAAACCAAATTATCTTAAAATCGCACTTCACACTTTTTGGAGAATAAACGGCAGCAACCAAAACCGGCACACCAGAGTTCATGGTTAACGGAAGTAAAAACTGAAACTGAATACGGCAGCATGAACACGGATACCAAATCCAAAAACGTAAACAGTAAAAATGCTTGTTCAGATCTCCGTTTTTGTCTTCTTCTGAAATCAAATAAAAATTACCATGTAATTGCTAACTTTTTCAAACCAATAACTCAATTTTTGTCTGGTTGGATTTTTAATACACCCGGCATTGTATTTTAAGACATCGAGATACATAAATCCGAGGTATATCTAAATGTTACACTCTTCATCGTCCTTCTTCAACAATGATATATATTATTTGATGATATACTTTGGTTTTGATGCATAATTTATTCAATAACATTCCTCTGAATTGCAGGTTTGATGCAGCCAACCCCAAAACGGTTGAATAGTTAGCCGGTTCCTAGTCATTTATTCATTGTCCCATTTTAGAGATTTAGTATAGTATAGGTGCCTACTTTTAAGACAGCCTTTTTTGGTAGTATTGAGTTAAACCGCTTGCGTCTCTGCTTTCAGCCCATTGATTGAAAAGATAAAAGTGATAGACGGTTCCATCATTGCTCGAAAAAACAGTATCACCCATTCACTGGACCCTCATGTGGTTCGCAAATCCAGTCTCCCTAGACACGATGCCGATTATTCGAACGGAAACTCAAAATGAACAGCAAAACCATGGAGTATGTCACCTATGTGCACTCAATTCACTTCCATACATGCGCTTCGTTCGCAAATATCCGCCATTCGAACTGCTAGGTTGATTCTGTGCATCACTTCCTCCAATTAGCGTATCCGCTAGCACTTTTTCTCACCGAAACTTCTCTTCAGAAGCAAAACAAATTCCTCTTTTCAAATTATATCTCCGCAAATCATTTCACCCCAAAGTTGGTTTATGTGCCTACATCAATCAACAATCGTCACTCGCAGCCCCTAACCAAGATTTTGCACTCCGCACTTTCACAGTTGTCTTGACTGTATCTGTAGTTTCCCCCTTCTCATTGACTTTTTTCGGTATAAGGAGGTGGCTCCTTCATCTTTGTTTCTCTATCTTCAAGCGCTGTAAACATTATGGGTTTCATCCCAAATGCCTATTTGCCATTCTTTAAGACACAAATACCCGCAACCGAGATTGGCTCAGGCATACAAACGTAAACTCAAATAATTTGCTTAGGTAAACAACCTGTGTCAATTAATTAAGATCTCCGCACATGTCTTCGGTCGTGCAGGTGATCGTGCTCTTGTGCCCAGTCTCAGGCTTACATTCGTACCTTCCCTTTTACCTACACAACCAACCCCCCCCCCCCACTGACTGGACATGTAGTGCGCATATTCATCTGCATTTACAACATTTAAAGGCAAATTTGGGCTCTAGGGCTGCCAAATTGAAAGGGTTTGTGTATTTCCAAATATCACCTTTGGAATGGCTGCCAATTTACTCACCATGTGTCTGTCACTGTTCCTATCTTTTAGCAATTTTCCTTTGAAGAATGTATTGAACCAAGCTCGGAAAACTGGAATGCTATCAATGGTTCAGTCATGCTTGGGTTCAATGTTGTGTGATGCAGAAATACAGCTTCTAATCATTAATGGTCTCCACCCGCTCCAATTCGTCTCAAAGCAGAGCAGTTGACTTACTCTTTTACCAATAACTGAATAGTTGATTTCCTTGTCAAGACGATTTTTGGGGGTATCTATCCTTCTGAATTTCATTCTATCACAAATTCCACTGCCGCTGTGGTTTCAAAATCTCACAATAATGCGGAAACACTTGCTACCCGTTTCGCACCCAACTTCACTTCTCCTCATTCTTCTTCGGTTCCATCCAACTTCTGTCTGAGTGACTGACCTTTTTCCTTTTATTACCACCTGAAGGTTAGGAGAATTCCATTGTCTCTTAACTTTTGAATACCCCCTGGCCTCACTGAACGTTTTCGTACCTTCCACAAATGGCGCATTCTTGATTTGGTCCCTCTATTGCATTATTTACTTTGTCGTGTTATTCGGTTTACTATATTTTCTGATATCATAGAAGATGCTATGATTTTCATCATTTACAAACATTATGACCCTTTCAATTCCAGCAGTTATCTTCTCACTCCCGCCATCCATGCTATTTCTAAATATCCCACATAGTCCCGCTTGACATCTTGAAAACACTGTCTGGTTTGAAGGTCCTCTGGCAAACATACCCACATTTGCATTTCTCTGATGTTGCAAACTTCAAGTTTGCTCAGTAACTACCCTACGTAATTAAAGAAACAATACATTTTCGGTGAATCAATTTTGAAGCCCTTAAAATATAAGGTAAATGAGAAAAATTCAGTAGGAATAAACAGAAAAGAGAGTGAGTCACATGTGTGGTAATGAGTCCCAGAAAGCTCTAAATTGATACGCTGTTTGGGATACATAAACAAAATTCGTAATATTACGTCATGGTCATGTATACAAACGATTTTCTCTTCTCCTTTTCCCAGGAAGTTTGAGAACTTGGATCAGTTCTCGTTGGTCTTAACCGAGGGAGCAGATCATTTGTGCACATGACCATGTCGTGCTATAATGAATTTCACTTGACTAATCCAATTATCGGACTCATTGCCAGACGAACGACACATCCAGTGATCTGTTTGACCCTACTGCATCTAGCTTCATATAAATGAAATCGTAAAGGGTTGAAAACGAATTCGACGAAAACATATATTCGCCTACATTCTGTTATTAATCAATCAATGGGCATATTCCATGATTTGAAACATAATGCACCCACTAAGACCCAGGGTTACGTCATGAGAACTGACAAACGAAGAATAGTGCCCCAAATCCTATGAACCCCAACCCGTTTTCCCTCAATGTCTGGGTAACCAAACCACTCAGATTGAACAAATTTGGTACGATGCTGACAGAGCTTATCAGCTTTAAGAAAGATCAAACAGATTTTATGATTATGATTTGGCTGGACCGATTTATCTTTAAAACTCCTTCCCCTTGGGTTGCAAAATGCCAACAAAACCACTTCCAGCCTTGTCGTTATGTATTTATTGTAGCACCTCAAGTAAGTCGCATATATCAGTCAGGCGGTGGTGGTCCGGTGGTAACGTCACCAAATTATCACCCCCACAGCCCCATACCCCACGAGTGTTCGAATCCCACCATCACCGCCTGGTTTTCCCCATTTGTGTGTTGTATGTCAGACCTTTATTTGGCCGCTTCGCCCCTTCCTGAAAATTCTATCTTTGCGTATTTAATAAAAGGAAGTAAAAATGAAAATCAAAAACACCCTAGATGTATAAAACAATGCTCAGTTATGCAATACTGAACAATGTTTACGCCAAAAGCGGTAGGTGAACAACGACCACTAATATCATGGATCGTGGCTGAGTTTATGAACCCGTCCTTTGTCAAGATAGTAGAATGGTATGCGTTTCGAGAATAACAGAGAAGGAACGAGGAAAATTACAAGTGTACAAGGAATTGAGCACAAGTATTTACAATATTGCTGAAAAAACCCCTTGATCACCGTGTATCGTTCAAAACTTTTTGACTAAATCATATCGAAAAGTCGAAGGATAAACACAGGATCAAAATATAAGACGGTTCTTACATGTTGCTACAACTCAGGTAGCAGGTGCATCGAAGTAATAGCTACTATTATGGTTGGGTATGATTGAGTGGTGCGTACAGCAACTGTTGCAAACTGTGACAAAATTGCAATTGAGTACCATGGCTAACAAACAGTTACACTGTTGGTTTAGTGGTAGGGGTCTGAATATACATCGATTGGGCTTCTGAATTGAAACATATTCATCGACGGTTATTATGGATTCATGTACAACTAATACCATCCGCATAAAAAAGCTAGCCTTCAGCGAGTGAGCCTAGGGTGGGGGCTCTGCCGTGGTCTGGGGTACCGTTTTTGTGGGTGGATAGTCCCATTCGGAAATCAGACACCTGAATTGTACGTCAAAACCTTAAACGAGCATCTTCGGCCCTCCATTCATGAAGGTGTTGGTGGTGCAGTGGTTTATTCTCTGTCACTGGCTTGCTTTGGACCCTGTGGTCCTAGGTTCGAGCCCCACCACCGCCACTCACCTTTGGTGGTAGGTAGCTTTGCTGTCGTCCGGTTCAACACCACGCCTAGCCTAGCGGGCTTTATGTGGTTTTCCACTCCAAGTCCCGGGGCTTAGGTTACCGGTTTCCATGACGGAGCAGTAGGTCTTCGTGACTATGGGGTTCGTCCCGTCTGCTGTTCACTACACAAATTTGTGTATTAAAAAACAAAAATACTCCATAAAATCGTTTAAAAATCATGCTTCTCCAACGGTTTTGTCTTTATGCAAGCAGCCCAACTCAATAGAATTGTTTTGGTGCACCAATATATATATATATATATATATATACGGGAAGTCCCCAGCCCTAACTTAAACCCCATGAAGTATGTTTCAGTCTACTTATGAGGTGAAGTGTTGTTCACAGAAAGATATTCGAGAGTGTCCATACAGTAAAGGCAGTTATCTCTGATGAGTGGAACGGTTTCCCAGTTAAGGCAGTTTAGAAGAAGTATACTTGAGCGCTGTGTTTCATTTATGAATAACAAAGGCAGATGGTTTTAAATTACTCAGTTTCAGTTTATTTTTACAACCAATAACCATACACTTTCATGTGCCGGTTTTGGTTGCTCATGACTGCCCATTCGGAAAAAAGGGAAGAATAGAATGCTGCGAGCAGAATCAATGAAAGAATAGAGAATTCAAATAGACAAAATCTGAAAGGGTAATGAGAAGATGCACGAGCGTCACTATTCGCGACACCCGACCATATCGCCTAGTGCCTCTAACTACCAGTTACGATGATTCCGGAGTCCCCATCCAGAAAACCTATGGGAATACGTCTCCGGATCAGAGTTGTCATACCCTCCTTCTAGGCATCAGTTTTTCTATTGTGATGGGGTTAAAAACAGACGGGGTGAATTTCATGGTCACGAAGACCTGCAATGAGGAACCCTGACCAGGAGACTCGGTCATATGGTTGACGTTAGGTTCCCTAGATGGGGACCTCGGGATGGCTGTAATCAATGGTTCGATACACTGAATTATATGATTGTGTAGTTAATAGTAACGTTTGTGCATCGTCTAAATTTCCTTGCATCGTTTGCCTTTGGTTTGTCTATGGCTCATCCAAACGGACATCCAAAAGACAGCAACAAAAACCAGCGCACGAATGTGCGTGGTTAATGATTGTACAAAATGAAGTAGCGCATTGCGCTTACTTGGAAGCTGTAGACCACCTCCGCATCGGCACACCCCAGATATAAGTAATTACACTTGGTGGTATTCACCCGAAGGGTTCAAGTATCCACCCACTAAGCCAGAGTAGTAATCTTTGATCCACATGAACAGGAATAGTACGCCGAATTTTGACATCATTCGCATACAACAAGGAATAAGCAGCCCAAGTGTCACGGCAGGTAATTTACGCACGCTAGAAATTTGCACCCTGCAGAAGAATGTGAAGTATTGAACTGCCTCTCGGGTTCGAGGCTGGTGCCCATTATCCCCGAATTCTTTATAGTGCCTCAGTTTCTGTTAATTGTAATAAAGGTTGATTAATTGTAGAAAATGTAACTAAAATATCAGAAAAACGGGGAGGGCCAAATCTCGTCTTGCCCCGGGGGCTAGTGAGGCTAGTTATAATGTTAAAATTGTTGGTAACATTAGCAAGCTCTGTAAGAGGGTACGTGTAAAAGAAAAAGAAAAAATAAGGGTTTGGTAGTTTTCGTTTTGTTTTTGGAGGGGTTGGGGGAGTAATTAGTTCTAGGAGTTAATCAGACCAGGACATGAATGAGGCGTTCCTTTTTGAGGGTCATCTCTTCTGGAAATGTGTTCCAGTGGGAAGTCACCCTAAAAGTGAACAATCATGTGCAAAGGATGGTATGGGGTTGAAGTTTATACATTTGGACCACTTCTGTTCCTGATCTTTGTGAACAACCCACCATCAAGCCGGTGTTAAATATATATATATATCAACGTTGAGTAGCCCCTGCCCAATCTACGCTGACGACCTCAAGCTCTGGCGAACAATCCGGTTGGAGGCGAATCAAGCGCCTCTACAAGATGAACTGAATGCCCTGTTGAACTGGTCAAAGGTGTGGGGGTTATCGGCGAACAACTCAAAATGCGCCCATATGAGGATAGGAGGACATGGTCTCACCACAAGCTACCGTCTTGGAATTATCGTGCTCCGACAGTCAACAGGGGAACGAGATTTTGGGTGTTTTCGTCACCAGAAACCAGAACGCTCGTGCACAGACATAACATGCTTGTTTCTGGGTAGAGTATGTTGGGTGCTGTACGCCGTTCTTTCGGTCCGTTATTCTTGACGGATTTTAGATTGCTGTTTGCCTCTCACGAACACCCTCGATTGGAATATGGCGGTCCGGCGGTCTTTCCTTGTGCGGCTTCGGAGGTCGCCCAATTGGAGAGAGTTCAAAGGGCTGCTACACGCTACACTTGGCAGCGAACAGTGAAGCTCGCTTCACTGTGATGATGATAATGATGATGCTACACGCCTCGTCAAGGGACTACGTGGAATCAGCTATGAGGGTCGACTGGTTGTAACGGGGTTGTTTCCCATGTCATGTGGATGACACCACACCAGACGCGTCGTTCGGGGCTACTTTGGCCCAGAATTGCAGTTGGAATTCCCCCTGAGGAACAACAACTGCATCAGGAGACATGTGCTGACGCTCCGCAAGATGCAGCCAAACGGTCTGCCGCTAAACTATCGCCTTTCAAGGAGGGTGACAAATCTCTGGAATGCGCTTCCGAAGGACAGCATATTCAGACTGAAACTCGCCAGAGCAGAAGCACTGATCTGGTGTGAACACTAATCAGCCCAGTGGAGCACAATGTGATGGGGCTAATACGGAAGTTCCCACTGCCCTTCCCACTTAAACACTTGAAAACTTGCTATTGTCTGTGTTCCACCTGAAGGGACTACACTAAAGTCCTTATATACCAGGCCCGAGGAAAACAGATGGTTTAAACGAAATAAGTCATCTCTAATTCATCTAATTTTTAGAAAATACATATTATACTCCACTATTTGGTCATAATAGAGTAGGGGTTTGAATCCAAGCACTGCTTGTATTGCCACTCCTTAAGTTCGTTCAAGAGAATTACGATTGCTGATCACGCCGAAGTGAGCAACGCAACTACCATATTCTAGAAGTTGACGTACACCAGTGCCGAAATGAAAAGAAAATCTTTTTGTGGTGTGAGGGAAAGTCCTTGTAATAAGAGGAAAAACACGGAAGGCAGATTTGCTAGCTAAGTGATTATGCCTTGAGAAAGAAAGGTTAGTATTTAACCAAAGACCTAGAAATTTGCCTTAGTCGATTTACTGAACAGGTTGTGTCACTTACGAGAAAGGAGATGGGAAGAGAGTTATCAAACTTAAAAACTTGTCACCATTGATGGGTATATTTCATTCAAGGAACCAGCGTTTTATATCATCAATAGACGACTGTATTTCAGATGGTGGAATTGTCCGCATGCATAGCTACGTTTGCAGGTAATGCCCCGAGTAGGCCGTTAATATAAATAAGAAAGAGAAGAGAGCCGAAAACAGATGCCTAAGGGACACAAGTTTTGATTAGACTTGATTTGGACAACGTACCACTAACCCTTTCAGTAAATGTGAGTTTGAAAGAGAACCGCGGATGAGGACTAGAGGAGAACCAGTAAGTTCATATGCTTCAAGTCTGAGTAAAATTGGGACATGCGGGACCTTATCGAAGGCTTCAGCAAAATCAATGTAAACAGCGTGTGAACGTTTTGTTATCATCGTAAATCTTGAGAAACTATCCATAGCAGTCAGCATATTGGTCCTGCAGGATCTGCTGGGTAAAAATCCATGTTGGAAAAGCGAAAGTAGATTGTTAGCGCGGAGGTGTTTCAGGATAGTTTCTTTTAGGATACACTAAATAATTTCGCTAGGCATACTGGTAAAGTATATAAGGCGGTAGTTTACTGGAAGAAACCCACTGCCTTTTTAGTTAGGCGAGATAATTGTTTTTCCAGTGAAAACGAAATATTCCATCGTCCATAGATCGTTGTAAGAGTAGTTTGTATGGGCTAGCTGGTATGTCTGCCGGTTATTTAAGAATTCTGCAGTGTATTTTGTCAGGCTTCATAGGTCAATGGGGTTTAAGTTGCGTATTCGTATACGTTTAGCTGGGAGAAAGTAATACTACTGAGCATGTGGTTTAAAAAAGAGGATTAAAGTACTATATGAGTAGTGGTAGAGCTAAAGATGACCCAGTAGTGTTTTTGAAACAGCGGTATTCTGTGAAAGAGCAAGTACTTCTGTCCCGTGCAGTAACGTAAAGGAATGAGAAAAGTGGGTCGCGCCGCGCAGATGACGAATGTACTCACAGAAAAATGATCTATTCTTTCGTGTGCGTTCAAGTATTACCCTTCGAATGCGCAATTAGAATTATTATTATTATTATTTAACTTTGGCTTGAGAACAAGCTTGGTGCCAACGCCACAACAATGTCAACAATACCTGTTTACTTGTAACTTGCAAACAGTCGAGTCCACTCATTGAGAAACCTGCCGATAGGGCGCGGGAGAGGTTTGCAGCTAGTGTGAGATAACACGGAGGACGAACTGCTCACTACTTTAGTTCACTTTTTACTTCCGATCGACTAACTCCTGCGGGAGGATAAATCAACTTCCTGGATGTCTCTAATGATGACGGCCCATGCATGAAGATCGGTAGCAAGGTTGGTGCAGTGAGAAACCCAGTTCTGGTTCCAGTTGCGAATTCCATATATGGATTAAAGACCCAGTAATTCCAAATCCGCCTTGATCGCGCCACTCCAGGTTTTCAGTTAACCACCGAGTCGGCAATGTCATCCACGGCACGGTATGGGGGCTACAGCCTGTCGCGAGAGTTCAGTGCCAGGCCTTCGGAGCACATGGACAAACCACTGAAGGCGCCGGCATTGTAGCATTTTTGAAAGCTTGTCAATGTTCAAGCAGCGCCGTCGAACCTCATCACTGGAAATCCGATCTCCCCAGTTTGCTTTCAAGATGCGTCGTAAGCATCAATGATCAAAGACTTCGAGCTTCCTTGTATCTTGTACTTCTAGCGGCTAGGTTTCACAACCATAAGTGAGGATAGGGCGGATGGAAGCCTGATAAACCCGAAGCTTAGTGTTGAGGCTTATGTCGCATCGATTCCACAACAGTTTGAGGAGTTGTAGGAAGGCTCTTCTAGCTCCATCTACACGTAGTTGGATTTCATCCTTACCCTGGCCGTTTGATCCTATCGTAGAGCCAAGGTACTTGAAAACTTCGGTTGATTCGACAGGCTCCCCGTTAATCGAGAGGGGTTGTGTCGTGGTAGAAGTTTCGGTCGAAAATGTCTTTGTCTTCGACGTTGATCTCTAGCCCAATGGACTGGGCAAACTGATTTATACAACTGACAATATGCTGGAGGTTGTCCATGCTGTCTACAAGTACAACGACATCATCCGCAAACTCGAGGTCCGCAATCCCTGTACCTGGGACAAGCTGCACTCCAGGGTAGTCGGTGAGTGCTTGTTGCATTATCTAATCTACGGTGTAATTGAATAACACCGGCTATAGGGGACAACCTTGCCTAACTCCAGAACTTGGGGTAAACTCAGCCGATTCTTCTCCATAGGTACGGACGCGTGCCCGGGTTCCTGAGTAGTATGACTTTAAAAGTCTGATGAACTTCTCAGGTATTTCATCGGACCACAATATGCACCACAACGATTCTTTATCGACAGAGTCAAACGCAGCGCGGAAGTCAATGAAATATGCAGTGGTAGGCTGTTGGAACTTGTAGCGGTATTCCAGAATGCTACGCAGATTGAAGATTTGTTCAGCACAGGCTCTTTTGCGGAGAAAAACCCCTTGGTTCGGGCGGGCGTGGGCAGCCCTGACGACTGCGAAGCGATTAAGCAGTATCACTGCAAACAATTTGGTCGCAATATCAATCAGGCTGATACCCCTGTAATTTTCGCATCTAGATCTGTCACCCTTTTGGGGACCGGGACTAAAACTGAAGCCATCCAGTCTTTTGGAAAAACTTGCCTTTCCCAAATGGTATGGAAAAGACAGTGCAGCGGATCGATCAGAGTTGGTAAGCAAGCTTTGAGTTACTCTGGTGGTATCCCGTCTTCCCCAGGGGCCTTCATGTTTTTCAGAGAAGTGACTGCATTGATGATTTCTGTTGTGCTAGGTGGGTCGCAATGAATGTCGTAAGTCTCCGAACTGATTGACATCTGTAGAGAACCAGCTTGGTTTGATGGTCGGTTGAGCAGCCCGTCGAAGTGTTCAACCCACCTTTACATTTTTTGCCCAGTTCCCTGAATAAGTTGGCCTGTGGTGCTGCGCAACAGTGGTTCCGATGTCTGCCTCTTTCCTGCTGCGACACGAATTAGACGTAATAGATTTCCAAAGTCGGCTACGACGGTTGCAGCCTTCATGCTGTCTGCAGTTGCCTTGCAGTATTGTTTACGGTCGCTCTTGGCGGAGCGTGTGGTTTGGCGACGGCAAATACGAAATTCAGGAGAATTGATCGGCCGCGCATCTCTTGCCTTTACGGACAACTACAGCGTACGCTCGAAGAGTCAGTCTCTCTTGTGGTGAAGAAGCTCACCTAACGGCTCCAGCGCCGCTTCTCGGATGGACTTTTTCAGTGTAGATCACTGTGCGTCGGCATTTGAGTCATTAAAGAAAGTTTCAGCTATGTTGGAAGAGGTTGCGTCCAGCAGCGTCTGCCTTCTCGCAGGTCGTTCCAAGAGCTCAACGTTGAATTTGCCCGGGAGTCGAGTCTTCCGGCGAGTAGTTAGGTGCATCGTGAAGCGGGCCTGTACAAGAGTATGTATGGTCTGTACCGTTCCTGTTTTCAGTTTCTGTGCCGCGATAGGAACGGCAGTCTTCTACCGAAGAGGCCCAGTGGGCACGTACCAAAATATAATCAATCTGGTGTGCCGTTCGACCATCGTTTGAGTGCCACGTGAGCAGGTGTTTTCTGGGTTGGTGAAAACGAGTTTTGGCCCCTACCAGCCGGTTAGGGTCAGCAAATGTGACTAGACGTTTGCAACTTTCACCAAGGCCGAACTTTCCCAGAACATGCCGAGTATGTCCGTCTGATGGATCAGTGCGTGAGTTCTAGTCCCCTGCTATAACGAGGATGTCGCGCCTCGGACTGCGGTTCACTGCGTCTTGAACATGGTTGTGGAAATCGTCTTTGATGGGCTCTTCCGCATGTAACGTTGTAACATATATAGCGATGACTGTCAGGTTAGACGGCTTTCCTCTGAAGCGTGCTATGGCAATCCTGGGAGAGATTGGCTCCCAGGAGATCATGACATTGTTGGGCCGGCCGCTCACGGCGATTGCTACCCCGTACAGACCGGAGTTGTCAGTTGGGCCGCTGTGGTATAAACGGTAGGTTGAGTTGCTATGTGGTAAGTTTTTTAGTTTTGTGGTACAGTTAGGTAGTCGAACATCGGACAGACAACAGATGTCCACCTTGTAGTAGTGCAGTGAAGGCATCGTGATACACTGGCTTCCTGTGTCTAGCAATGTTCTAACATTCCAAAAGGCTACATGGATGCTGGATCTGGTGCATAGATGATTTAGGTTCCCAGTTTGCTCATTTTTCATCCCAGCCAATGGGAGAGTGTAGGGTTTGTCGCTTCCCGGGAACGCCGTAGTATGAACGTGATGTACCATTGTAAGACGATACATGAAGAAACTTTGGAATGAGGCACTAAGTGACGTCCCCAGCGTCGCTCGGTTTTTAGTCGAGGGTGCACCTCTAACCCTTTCACAACC